TTATTAAGAAGAGAGAACTGTGAGAACTTTCTTATCTCATAAGCTTACAGAGTCTTTATAAGATTGAAATAGATATTCATAAATACAGTGATACTGTTTCACTTTGATTTCTTACTCTTAATCAGATTAAAGACAGATGTCTTCTTCTTTACAATTTCAGAAATAGTCTTACAACTACAGTCAAATAAGAACTGAATTTCAGTGATCTTTTTCTTATAAAAGATGCAATCTGCAGAGATCAACTATAACATTTATAATCAAAAGCTTCTTATAATAGTGAAATTCTTTCATCACTGATATCACTACTTTGAGAGTCTTATAACAGTGATTACTGTTAGAACTGATTATAACAGCTTATAATAGTTTACTTCAATCAAGAAACTCTCACAGTAACAGGTTTGCTAGACTCAGAGACTGAGTGAGTTCTGATTCAAGATAGAACATATTAAGAGAACTAAGAACTCAGTGAATAAACTCTCTCACAGATCAGACTATATTAAGAAGATCAGAGTGACAGACACAGAGAGACTAGAGAAGACAGAAAAGCTTTATAAAATGCTCAGACTGAGTGTTGTAAAGAGATTAACTGAAGAGTCTTTCAATTCTCTGTAAGAGAAGAGAGAAGAGAAAGAGAAGAAGTCTGTACAACTACTCTCTATAACACTGAGAGTTAACACTCTGAAGATCTCTGTGAGAATTCTTGAAGAGAGTATCTATAATCTGAAGAGTTTGCAGACTTTGAGAAGTGCTGTGAAAGACCTGATGCAAGAGAAAACAGAGTATAAGTCTTTATAAGATCTTCTATTCAGATTATCTGAACTGCAACTGAAGAATGAATATACTCAGTATATTCAGAAACTGCTCACAGCAGAGATTAATCCTGCAGAAATAAAGAATTGAAGAGACTTAAATAGTCTCTTATAAAGAGACAGCTGAATTTATATATCTGTGAATGAGTTTCTATACATAGAACTCATTAAAAGGTATTATAACTCTTCTCTAATGAGTCATTTTATAGATACTAGAACTCATGAGTTACTTGTAAGAAAATACTTCTGACTGAAGATATAAGAACTTATGAAGAAGATAGTGAATTCTTATACTATTTATCAGAATTTATAAGTAGTGTAGTTCAGACTATATAAAGAACTTACTTCTCTACTCATTTCACAGAAACCTTGAGAACAGCTAGAAATGAATACTCTTGTGAGTCTCTCAGAAAGTAAGAACATATATAATATCTGCTTTAACAGTGTGCTGATGATAGTGAATCACTTCATTAAAATAACACACTTTATACTCACTCACAAGAACTTGAAGTTAAAGAATTTGACTCATATCTTTGTCTGCAATGTGATCTGATTGCATGAGTTATCTATGAATATTATCTCAGATAGAGAATTAATCTTCATAGAAGAGTTCTGATCTGATCTGATAATTATACTGAAGATCTCATAAGATCTAAGCATGACTTTTCATCAACAGACAGATGATTAGATAGAACATCTGATAAGTATATTAAAACAGTATCTGTGATACTTTGTCAATTATAATCAGAATGACTGAGTGCATTGATTATCATTTATAAAGTTTATATACAACAACTTAAAGTATGTCAGCACAGATAAAACCCTCTTTGAGATGCTCACTGAGACTCATTCACAGATAATCTTGATGAATCTGTAAGAGTATACTATAGAGTGTGATGATGTCTGTGAATAGGCTGAGAGAATTCAGAATATCTGAGAGAAAGCTTGCAAATTCTTGAGAAAGACTTAAGAGTATAAGAAGAGATACTATGACTTTAAGTATATTACAAAGAGTTTCAAGAAAGATAATAGAGTCTGACTAAGTCTAGAAAACATTATCATGTAAAGATCTAGTAAGAAGCTGAATCTCTTGCAGACAGAGTCTTATAAGATTGTGAAGAAAGTTAGCTTATAGTTCTATAGATTGAAACTGCTATCTGAGTTGCAGATATATAATATTTTTCATATCTCTTTACTCTGTAAATATAAGAAATTCTTAGAAGAGAATTCTGTGACTCATCACTCTGTCTACAAAGCACTAGAGAGTGAAAGAGAATATCAGATTAAAGAGATTATTAACTCAGAGAAGTGAGATTATAAGCTCTGATTCAAGATTCAGTGATAAGAATATTCTGATAAGATGAATGAGTTCACTTGAGAATTATTCAGATAGATAAGATATCTGCAGAAGCTGAGACATGACTTTCATACTGTAAATTCTGATAAGTCAGAATAATATAATCTTTGCTAAGAACCTGATTATAACAAAGATATTAACACTGTCATTTATAAACTCTAATCTATAAGATGATGAGTTTCTACTGAGATGAACAGTCTGCAGCATACACAAGACAAGAAGAAATTATATTCTTATTAAAGTTAAAAAACAAGAAAATAAACAGGGCTGTGAACACAATTTGAAGATTAATAAAGAAAAAATAAAGAAAACTCAAACTCACACTTTTAATATCTGTGATACTTAATTCTCTTATAACTATTAATTTCTTTCTTCAAAGAAGCAGAGAGTATCATGCCTGCAGTACAGACAATTGTTGCATTTGATATGAAGACTGTCAGAAATGCATAGACTTCAGAGAAGCTGAACATCAGAGTATGTACAGTTATAGCAGAGCCTTGAAGACTGATCATCTGTGTGTATAATCAGATATCTCTTATGAAGCTATGTTCACTTTCTCAGTTATGCTGAAGTATTCAGTCTGAAAATAATTAAGATATGAAGAGAAGACTTATCTACTCAGGTCAACTCTCATCACAAATTCATGATATTCACATTGCCTTGATTATCTGAATTTTACAGATACTCAGAGACTCATCTCTCATTGACAATGAAATTGTGAAAATGTACTGTGATGTGAGAATTATTGATAGAGAATCTAGACATATTCACATATATCTGATCAGTGATTGTGTGAGCAGAGAGAGAGTGATTATAGACCTGTGAAATCACAGAAGACACTGACAACATAGAGAGCTTTGTAAGAACTGTCAGCTAGAGTCTGTAAGAAATTACTTATAAGAAGACTTACAGCAAAGAGAGAGACTGTGCTGCTTGAAGTCAGAGACTAATCTGAGAAAGACAGAGAGTTGACTGCTAGTCTAAAGATCAGATGCAGTGACAGAGCTGAGAGAAGTGAAGATATAATTGTGAACAGCAGTATCTCTACTTCATCAGCCAGTAAAAAGCAATCAGAGAAGTTGTAGAGACACTTATAAGAAGCTCAGTGACAGTCAGACATTGTTTATAAAGATATTAAAATTGAAAAAATTTTTTATTCTTGAGAAGTTCTTGAATCAATATATGAATATTGTCAGAAACACTCTCTCTCTGTCATCTAAGTGAAAACATTTCACAGATGAATGAGAATATTCACAGTTTATAAGAAGAGAAGCTGTTATAGAAAAAGAGAAAAGAAGATGAGATTCTGTGAATAGATCTGAGATATTTATACTACTCTAGAGAGGTTTACTTACACTGTGAGTGATTCTATATAATAGTCAGATCACTCTAGTAAATAAGAGTGATTGTGAATTACAGGCCTGAATCTTTCTATATAACTATAAAGAGTGATTACAGACTGCAGACATCTTGATTCTACAATTCTATAGAGTTAATAAAAGAATGAAAAATTGCTCACAATTCTACAGTGTCAAAGAACAATGATTTGTGAGAATAAGTAAAAGATCAACTCATAAATGTTTCTCTTTAATAAGAATAATCTTATAGAGAGTGATTCATCTGTGAGATGAATCTGTGTAATGATCACACAAGAATCTTGTAAAAATAATTGAGAGTCAACTGAAATTCTTCTATATGAAAGATATGAGATGAATCTGTATAGTAGTCAGAGAAGAATCTGTAGATTATAAAGAATCTTATAAAATAAGAAACTGAGTGACAGACTCTTTTCTCTTTATAATGACAAGGAATTTTTCCTCACTGAGATTTTTTATAGATGTGAAGAGTTTTTAGTGAGTATTACTGCAGTACTGAGCTGATTCTATAAAGTCACTCAGTGAAAGGCTTCATAGATGAAGTCTTAGAGAGAAAAGAGTATATAAGAAATCTCACTTCTTATGAATTCTTTATCTCTATTTCTATCTCTTATGTAATTAATAGGGCTAGCGGCCCTTAACTACACATAACTATATAGACTGAAGTTTGTGAATACTATTCATAACTCAGCTTGAATGCTATTATACATTTAATCTCTACATTTTATCTTTCTACTGTGAATACTTCTAGTAGTTAACAGTACATATCACACCAAGCTGCAAACACTCAAATAATCGCCTGTGAGTACTTATTCTTACACTGACTATCTGAACAAGACATCTTATTAAATACTTAAAACAGAAGCTTAATATTCTCTAATAATAATAGAATTCATGAAGATGATATTTACAAGACTATGAATCTTACACAGATCTCTGTCAACACTTATAAAATACTCTGAAAAAGAAGTCATTAAAATCACTGACAGAGTCACTGACAAAGTCACTGATGATAGAATTATGTATTAATCTATTCTGTCAGTCTGATTAATATTAAGAAAGCTCTAGAAAAGTTATTCTGTACTACAATAACAGATTCTTGCACAAAACTCTCTCAATAATATCATGAATATCTAGATGTCTTCTGACAAGATAACATTATAAATATATCTTCTTTACAAGACTCAGAAGTGGATCCAACCGCTTCACCACGAACTCGCTCGATTTTTCGAATAAGAACCCGCCGATAGATCCATCGAAAAGCCCTCGATCATACGAGCATTTTGACCCCATCGCCGACCGCATACCCCGTGTGGTGGTGGAGTTATCCAGCCAAACATGAACCAGACGTTGTTCGAAACTCCTGTGTGGGATTATCCCCCATTCTCCCCTACCACACCACAACCCCGGGCCAAATTGCTATACAAATTGTAAGGTGAAGAGACCTAACCATATACATCAATCTTCTTGATTTTGGAAGATCTCTGACCTGTAATTGTGGAGATATCTGAGGAGTGACCTCCGCGAAAACCCTGTCCATCTTTGATGTTCCAAAACACCAACGCCAAGTCCCACCCTCATACCGCCCTTCCCAATCTGGCCCATCCCCGGCAGAAAAATACAAAAAGATACCTCGGCGATAATATCAAGCACATAACCAACGGACACTTCTGAAGTGCAACCTCCGCGGTCTGTCTTCAGTGTAGACTGGCCGCCGGGACCATGAATTTCATGTTTGGTCCCATTTGGTCTGGTCCCATACATTTCTTGGCATGAATCCCGCTGGGACTAATCATTAAATAAACATGCAAAGTGACTATATATCAGATCTCAAAATGAAATCATGACTTGAAAAAAATGAGAAAGTGGTCCCATTTGGTCTCATTTAATTCCATTCTTGGCATAAAGTTACTATTTTTAGACATTTTAAGGTTTTTTTTAGACTATTTTTAATTTTTTAAAAAGTAACACTTTTTGATAATGCTCAAATGAGATTTAAAGTCATTTAAAGCAATAAAAATAATTTAAATTGAGAAGTGGAAATCATGGTCCCATTTGGAAAATGTGACAAGAGTAGACAGTAAGTCCCACTGGGACAGTATGGGACTACTATCTAATGTTAAAACCGTGTAATGGGATCTGTCGAATTGACAATGGGACTATCAAAAATTCTGGTCCTGGTCCCAGACACGGTCACACGGTCAGTCTACTTCAGTGTATCTAGACATCAACGCCAAGTCTCACCCTTGTACTACCCCTCTCAATCTGGCCCATCCCCGGCAGAACAATACAAAAAGATACCTCGGCAACAGTATTCGATACATAACCAGCAGACAACGAGTCAACAGAACAAGTCAACAGCACACAAGCGCTCCACCACGAACTCGCTCAATTTTTCGAATAAGAACCCGCCGATAGATCCATCGAAAAGCCCTCGATCATACGAGCATTTTGACCCCATCGCTGACTGCATACCCCGTGTGGTGATGGAGTTATCCAGCCAAATATGAACCAGATGTTGTTCAAAACTCCTGTGTGGGATTATCCCCCATTCACCCCTATCACACCACAATCCTGGGCCAAATTGCCATACAAATTGTAAGGTGAAGAGACCTAATCATATACATCAATCTTCTTGATTTTGGAAGATCTCTGACCTGTAATTGTGAAGATATCTGAGAAGCATCTTCCACAAAAACTCTGTCTATCTTTGATGTTTCAAAACATCAATACCAAGTCTCACTCACATATTGCCCTTCTCAATCTGGCTCATCTTCAGCAGAAAAATATAAAAAGATATCTCAGTAATAGTATCAAGTGCATAATTAACAGATATATCTGAAGTGCATTCTTCATGAAAAATTCTCTCTGTCTTTGATGTATTAAGACATAACATTAAGTCTCACTCTTATATCACCTCTTCTGATCTGGCTCATTCTCAGCAGAAAAATATAAAGAGATATCTCAGTAACTGTACTTGATACATAATCAGCAGATATAACAACTATAAAATCAGTATATTTTAAGATCTGACTAAGTCTTTGATCTCTGCACAGTGAGATATATTAAATCTAGTTTTAATATCTCAATATTCAATAGATTTTACAAGAGATTGAGAACAGCAACACTAAATTTCTATTAAATTTGAGAATTAACTCTATATTAATATAATCATTGATAAAGTCTTCTATTTTAAGATATAAATAACTAGTTTCTCTACATTCTGCTGACAATATTTACATTATTATATAGAAACAGACTTATATTCTCTATAATATCAAGACTCTGAAGAGAAAAAGTCTTGATAGAGAGTATATAGTAGTATATATCTTAGCAGTTTCTATCTTATTCTTCTACAGCAGTTAATGCAAAAAAAAAAAAGATCTTAGAAATAGTTTTTTACTTCTCTTAAAAAAGTAAGATGTTTTTCTCTGAGTTTTATATAATATTCTTACAAAAAATTAAAAACAGAGTTATTTTCTGTTATAATTTCATATTCTTTTAAGTAAGAATTACTTTTTCAGTCACTGAAGAGCTTTTATTAATACTTAATTCTTTTTTACACTCTTTATTAACTGATTTGAGTTGTATACTTATTGTGTGAGAAGAATTGAATAATTTAGAATAAAATTGAATAGTTTTAATCAATTTCTCTGTAAAAAATTGATTTATTTTTTATCAGTTTTTCTCTTAAAAACTGTCATATTATTGTGGTTCGGAAGAACGTACGACCATCGGATAATAACGCGGCCGCTTCCGAACTTGCTTACGAGTGTAAAGAGGCCATAGCGGCTGCTAATTAATTTAGCATACAATATATAAGAAGTTAGTGTACATCTGTAATTATACACTGACTTAAGCAATCTTTGAATCACATCTGATGGCATGTCTAAAAACTGGTGAGAAGTGCAGACTTCTTCAGAATGTGATAATTTCATCTATAAAGTGATTTATAGTTATCATGCCAGTGTGGTTCTAGAATGTCTCAAAAGATAGTGTATGAAGAGTGATGAGTGAAAGAGCATCTGATTAATACTGCTTTGCTTGTTAAGAGAAAACTTCACACTTAGAAGAATGTCATGTATGAGATGTGAACTGATGAGATGTGAGAAAGAGAATGAGAGCAGTGAACCAGATTCAAAGAAGTCTGCTCTCTACTTAAAAGAAGAATTAAAGAGAGAGATAATCATCACTGAAGTTATATAATGATAACAGAAATCATATAATGATATAGTGATATAATAATAGACATCATACAATTAATGAGAAACTACTGAAATGAATATCTTCTCTAGTTAATACAAATAACACTCTTCTCTGCTACCTGAATCAGAAGATATGCAGAAACCTCTCAGAGAATTTACTCAAAGTAGTAAGAAAAGCAGTTAAGATCACTGAATCAGAATCAAAACTTTCTACATGTATAAGAATTCTAAATGAGATTGAGATCTTGTGTATGCAGTGACAGGCTGAGACAGAAGTCAAATAACAATTAACATTAACTGCAGATTAAGCATTCACTATGAAGAGCTTCACTGATATAATCATCATTATTAATAAGAATAGAGAAAATCAGATCTTAGATCTATAGCAGAAGATTGAACATTTACACAGACAGATAACTACACTGAATCTGAAGATCTCATCGCAATTGCTAATAATCTCTTCAGAAGCATATACATTATCAGAGACTGCTGTGCAGAATGAGAATCTGAGTATGAAATATATCAAGTCAGATGTGGTTCGGAAGAACGTACGACCGTCGGATAATACCGCGGCCGCTTCCGAACTACTAGCGTACGTGTATGAGTGTAAAGGGGCCATAGTGTATGCTAATTAATTTAGTGTACAAGATTACAATATAAGAAGCCGGTGTACACCTGTAATTATATGCTGGCTTAAGCAACCTTTGAATCACATCTGATAGCATGTCTAAAAACCAGTGAGAAGTGCAGGCTTCTTCAGGGTGTGATAATTCCATCTATAAAGTGATTCATAGTTATCATGTCAGTGTGGTCCTAGAATGTCTCAAAAGATAGCATACAAAGAGCAGTGAGTGAAAGAGCATTCAATTGATGCTGCTTTACTTATTGAGAGAAAACTTCATACTCAGGTGAATGTCATGTATGAGATGTGAATAAATGAGATGTGAGAAAGAGAATGAAAGTGATGAACCAGATTCAAAGAAGTTCACTCTCTACTCAAAAGAAGAATAAAAGAGAGAAGTGATCATCACTGAAGTTGTATGATGATAACAGAAATCATATAACAATATAGTAATAGAATGATATAGTGATATAACAATACAGTAATATAGTGATATAATAATACAAGTGATATAATGATAGACATCATACAATCAATCAGAAACCACTGAAATGAATACCTTTTCTAGCTGATATGAATAACACTCTTCTCTGCTACCTGAACTGAAAGGTATGCAGAACCTCTCAGAGGGTTTACTCAAAGCAGTAAGAAAAGTAGCTGAGATCACTGAACTGAAATTAAAGCTCTGTACATGTACAAGAATTCTAAATGAGATTAAGGCCTTGTATACACAGTGGCAGGCTGAGACAGAAGCTAAATAACAATTGACATTCACTGTGAACTAAGTATTCACTATGAAGAGCTTTGCTGATGCAATTGTCATCATTAATAAGAATAGAGAAAACCAGATCTTAGGTCTGCAGCAGAAGATTGAACATTTACACAGACAGATGACTATACTGAATCTGAAGATCTCATCACAATCATTCACAACCTCTTCAGAAGTGTACACATCATCAGAGATCACTGTATAGAATGAGAATCTGAGTATGAAATATATCAAGTCAGAAGATCTGCTGAAGTCATCAAGCTTCAATAGTGACTGAAAAAATAATACTGCAATCAGCTGGCTAAGTCAGATGTGATCATATTATCAAATTGAACATGAACTCACAGACAGACAGTTAACAGAATTTCAACAAGTCTTAAGATCTGCTGTATTTCTACATGAAAAAGCAAAGTCATTATAAATGACTGATGAAAAGATGAATCTCACAGACCTGAAGCAATATTCATTTCTATGAATATGAAATGAGTTTTCCAAATGAATCTTGCACAACTTTGAGAAAGTGAACATATAAGACAAGTGTTATAAACACTTCACTGAGTGTAGATAAGTGAGTGATCTTATATTATACTTCACATACTTCAGCTTACACTATCTTATGTTAAATGAAGAGCTTTTAACATCTTTCTATTTACAGATCTTCATTCATAATCTTACACTCAAGTTAAGAGTGGAATGAAAATGCTTAATCTCACAGTCAGGCACAGTGAAGAAAGCATACAACATTCTTATCATACAGAAATAAGTGAGTCAATTGTGACAGAAAATACTGTAATCAAGTATGTCTCAGTGAAGAATAAGTAATCAGACTTCTATAACACAAGTCACACACCTGAATGTGATGAATCTAGATCTGAATGCCATCACTAAAGCACTGAATCCTCTGAAAAAGAGATTCTCTGAGTGAAAACCTTGGTGTCATGAGCATTGAGCTTGCTTCAACTGTGAATATCAAAATTATAATACAAAAGATTGCACTCAGCATATGCAGTTAAAAAACTAGCAGAATCAGTGAGCTCAGAGACACTCACTGATATTCTATGAAAAGTCTTTAAAGTGAAAGAGATGTCTGTGTTAGATGATTCTGTGAATCCTGTGAATACAAAGAAGAAGCAGACTCTTAAATGAGATGTAAGTGAGAATGATGAAGTGAACATTTATCTCAATGTCTTAAGACCTGAAATGTTAATGTATAGAGAGCACTTGAGTAAGAATTAAGAGATGACTGTAAAAGTGTTAGCAGACACAGAAGCTTCTACACAATATATTAATGATTATATGATCTGAAGAATGAAAGAGGTTCACTGAGTGAAGAATTCTTAATATATAAGATTATCTGATAATCAATATCTGATATCATCTGCAAAAGTAAGAGTTCTCTTACACTTCAGAGAATGATCTTGCTATATTTGAGCATGAGAGCTGCAGAACATGAAATATGACCTTATTCTCAGACTCAATTGATTTCAAAGGTTCAATCTGCAGATTCAATGATGTACATGTCATATGCAGTTGACTGATAGAAAGAAAATGATTCATATAATTCTATCAACTGATATGAGAAGGACATTTCACACCTCTGATATAGAAGAATTAAATCTGCTTACACATTAACAAGCAAAGAGAACAATTCACAAGATCTCATTCAAAAGCATTCTGTATGTTATACAGGATCTGAAAGTGGAGAAAACTAAGATAAAGAATATGCAAGAGGACAAGTGTATAAAGAAGCTTCTGAAGAAGCATGAAAAGATCTTCTGAACAGATCTTTCATCAGAATTGTCATCAGAACAAGAATTCATACATGAGATTGACATGAGAGATATAAAACCAGTCAATCAGAACATGTACCTTCTGTCACAAACACATTTTAAAGAACAGAAGCATCAGATCACTGACCTTCTAGAACATGGTCTCATATAATTCTCATCAAGTGTGTGAGGCTTTTCAGTTCTATTCATGAAAAAGACAGATGAGAAGTGATGAATGTGTATCAATTACTGAGCACTCAACAAGCTTATGATCAAGAATAAATATTCACTGTCACAGATTCAACAACAGTTGAATACAGTTAGAAATGCCTGATATCTATCAAAGATTGATCTTCTCTCAGAATACTGACAGATCTGTGTAGACAAACTGTCAGTTCTGTTCACCATGTTTAATATGCAATAAGAGAAGTTCAAATTCCTGGTAATATCATTTAGTCTGACAAATGTGCCTGTCATCTTTCAAATAATGATGAATACAATTCTTCATAAACAGAATAAAACCTCATACCTCATATATCTCAATAACATTCTAGTCTTTTCAAACTCATATAACAAACATCTGAAGCATCTCAATGAAGTGCTTACAACTCTGACAGAGCATAAGCTCTATATCAAATCAATTAAGTATGTGTTTGAAATGAAAGAGTTGAAGTTCATAGAACATGTAGTAAGTGATGACTGTATACACCTCATTTCAGAGAAATTGAATGTCATAGTGAATTGATCACAGCTGAGAAACATACATCATGTACAACAGTTTCTTGAATTGATCTCATACTACTGCAGATTCATCAAGGATTTCACATGAATATCTGTATCACTCTCAGATCTCTTAAGAGAAATGAATACAAATCTGTGAAAGAAGAAGTTTCATTCAATCATCTGAAATGTCATGTGTGAAGAGACTTTTCTCACACTGAGGAAACATGTAATAACATTCTCAGTGCTTATTCAATTAGATCATGATAAACCTTTCTACATTGAGATAGATGCATCTGAATGAGCTATCAGAGACACTCTTCTACAGATGAGTAAGAACAGCAAGCTGCACTCAGTGACATACAATGATAGAAAACTATTGAGTGTCAAGCTTAATTACTCAGTGCATGAAAAGAAATTGCTAGTGATCAAGCACATGCTGACATTGTGAGATAGATATATCAATAACAGGTATATGACAATGATGATCACAGATCACAAAAGCCTTGTCTATCTACAATTAATAATAAAATCTTTCAAACACTTAGCACATTGAATCTCAGAGTTTCAAGTGTATAATCTTCATATCAAATACTAAAAGAGATCAGATGTAGTGATGCTGAATGCAATCAGTTGCAGACTCAATTTCATGAATGAGAATTCTGCAAATCAGACACAGAGAATGTTTGTATTAAATGTACTGAGAGAATGCAAGGAATCAGAATGAGTGAACATCATGATCTCTTGCTTAAAGAATGACAAGATGTTGAATGACAAGCATCTCATAAGAGTAGTAGAAGAGATGCTTCTGAACTTCAAGCTGAGGAAATTGAGAAATGAAAATGACATTGTGCTTTATCACAATCTAGAATATGTAGAAGCTCTCTATCTAGAATCTCTATTTAGACATGACTTAGTAACTCACATACACAAGGAATTCAGTCACTTAGAAAGTTCTGAACTTATAAGTGTACTCAAATCAAGAGCATACTGGTCAAGCATGGCTGAGAACATTCAGACATATGCTCATGAGTGCCTGAATTGCCAGGTTGTGAAAGAATCTAAGAAAGAGTTAGAATGTGAGAAAGTATAATATCAGATGAAGTGTATGATACAACTGTTCAAATGATGAGAAGTGAATCTCATAGACATATTACTGTGAACATCAAATGAAAATTGATAAATAATCACTGCTATTGATTACACTACTGACTGGCCAGTTGTGAGAGCAGTTTCAGAGATGATAGAGAAGATGATAATGAAGTTTCTACATGATGAGATCTATGTTAACTATGAAATGCTGTATAAGATTCTAACTGATAACAGTGCGAATCTCATAGAAGAAGTAGTGAGGCATTTCATGAGTCAGTTACAGACAAGACATTGTAGAACAATGCTATATCATCTGCAGATGAATAGAAAGATGGAACACTTAAATGAAATCTTAGACAACATACTGATGAAATATCTAGTGAGTAAGTCTATGAGACTATGAGATGAATATCTCGGGCAGGCGCTATTGGCCACATGGATTTGACAGCATGCAGTCTTCAAGCATTCACTATTCTACCTGTTATATGAATTGCATCCGCGCATTCTGAAGAATGCTTCAGAAAAGGTGGGGGAGGGAACAGCAGTTGTGAATACAGCAGAAACAGCAGTTGCAGATGCAGCAGAAACAGCAGTTGCAGATGCAGCAGAAACAGCAGTTGTAAACAGAGCAGTCACGGACACAGAACCAAGATTGAAAGAGATCAGCCACACATGCACAAAAGCTAATAAGTTACTCCTGAACTGAGCAATTCAATTGAAAAGAATACAAGACTCACTTATTAAGAAATTGAGTCTCAAGGTGAAAATGTGAGTTCTTGTATGCAATGAGAGTCCTGAGAAGTTTCAATCTAGATGATTTGAACTATATAAGATACTCAAATCACATTCTCTGAGAATATATGCATTGAAAGAATCAGAGGGACAGGTCTTATATAACTTAATCAATGATTCACAACTTATAAAAGCAAAGATGCAAGACCTGAGTGAATTATAATTATCTACAGCACTATTATCAGTGTTGAAAAAGAAGAAGCTTACAATTGAAAAGTCTTGTGAAGTAAGAGAAATCATAGACATTTACAAATCAGATGATCTCACTTATTTCAATCTTTTCATAATTACAAGAAAAGAATGAGAAGAAATGAAGAAATCAGATGAACATCACACTTCAATAAGTGATAAGACTGTAGCTGATTATACAATAACACACTGCAGACAGCAGATACAATGTGGCAAAGAACAGTCTCAAAGCAGCAGACTTATACATGAGTCAGATCACAGAAGAAAAAGAAATTCAGAGTTGAATTCAACTGTTTACACCAGTTCAATCACAGAGATCACAGAGAATGAACTATCTGAAACATCTGCAGATATGTGAGATCAAGTCATCTCAATCTCTGAGAACACTCAGAGATCAGATAAGGTTAGTTTTAATAAACTGTTCACTGTAGTGATCTGAGCAGGTGAAGAGAGACAGTATAATATGCAAGACAGAATTATAAAAAGTTGAAAGCTGCTAAACCTAGTCACTGAATGCTGTATTATATAGAGATTACATAAGAGTAGTGACTAGCAGATAGAGAAAAAGCATAAGAAAAGAAATAATGAATTGATCACTAATTATAAGAGTTGACTGTAAAAGACAAATATTATCATACATATC